TGTGTAATCGGTCATTGTGTGGATTTGAGGCATGGAAATGTTTCAGTTGTAGGTACCGAAATTGGAGAAGAGACGTCCTTGGTTTATCCCCTAGCAGTGATGAGAGATCTCGTAGTTTCCCCTCTGCCAGGATTGTGTGTATGGGTATGTATTCGCTTGTACTCTCGATGGGCCATGCTCCTGCCGGGAGCCCACCCCCTATGGCTTCATTATGCGTGATTGGCAGCATCGGACTGGGTGTGGGGGATACATGTTCTTGCCCTCTCAGCGCCTGCCAACTATGCAGGATCTGCAAGAACATCCCCTCGTTGTTCTCAAGAGTGGCTTGTCTCCCAGGCCTTCCCCATACCTTCGCCTCCAGCGTCGGACCAATAAGGCCTCTGTCCAGTGCCACCCATTGTTTAGTCGTCGGTGTTAAGTGCCAGTCCAGTATGCGTTGCATGACCGCGGCTTGATGATATTTCTTGAAATCAGGCAACGCCAGCCCACCGTGTATCCTCAATCGACACACGATGTCGTGTCGCGTCCGAGATCGTCCCCCGCGCCATATATATTTAATCACCCCCGTTTTCAGGACGGAGAAAAAAGTTGCTGGTATGGCAAGGGGTATCGTTTGCATGAGATATAGGATCCTCGGAAGGATATTCATTTTAATCACGGCAACCCTGCCATGCCATATGTGGATACGACCAACTAGTGAGGTCTGCAAGAATATTCTTTAGGAGGGGTGTATAGTTGCGGTCGTACACGTCCCCCGGATCCGTGGTCACCCAAATACCCAGATATTTCATTTTGCCATAACACCATTTGAATGTGAATTGCGATTCCAAGGATTGGAATTCCTCCGTGGGGAGTGTGATGTTCAGAACCTCGCATTTTGAAATATTAAGTTTAAATCCGGACATCTGTCCGAATTTATCGAATTCTGAGTGGAGACAGGGCAGCGTGATTCTGGGGTTATTAACAAAGAAAAGAAGGTCGTCCGCGTAAGCAGCCACTTTGTGTTGCACTCCTTGCCATTCATAGCCCAGTATATTCGGATTTAGTCTGATTGCTTGCAAAAAGGGCTCCAGGGTGAGCGCGAACAGCAACGGTGAGAGTGGACATCCCTGCCTGGTTCCATTACTGATTGCAAAATCAGCAGTTGTGGCCCCATTGATTCTTACAGTTGCTCGGGGACCCGTGTACAGGGCCGAGATCCACGTGAGGAGTCGTTGGCCGCAGCCCTGCCAAGTCAGCGTCTCCATCATATACGACCAGTTGACCCGGTCAAATGCTTTTTCCGCATCTGTCGATAGAAGCAATAGTTGGGCTCACTTTCTCCTAGCATGATGTTGGATGGAGAACAATCATGGAGTGCTGTCTCTGGCTTCCCTCCCAGGAATGAATCCCGTCTGATCAGCGTGTATCAAATCGGGCAGAAGACGTTTTAGGCGGGTAGCGAGCACTTTCGTGAATAGTTTGGAGTCCACATTTAGCAATGAAATCGGGCGGTAACTACCGCAGTGTAATGGGTCCTTACCCGGCTTGAGGAGGACCGTGATGGTAGCTGCAACTGATTCCCTACCCAGGGTTCTCCCTTCACCGATCGCGTTGAGAGCGTCGGTTAGCCGCGGCAAGAGCAGTCCCGAGAAGCCTTTATAGTATCCCAGCGAGAAGCCATCTGGGCCGGGTGCTTTGCCGGTTTTGGATGTTTTGAGAGCCGCTGCTATTTCTTCCATACTGATTGGCGTGTCTAGCATTGACGCGGATTCCTGGTCAATCTTGTTCGTGACCGTATCAGACAAGAAGTCCCGTATCTTCGCGAGGTTCCTCGTAGCTTCAGTATCCCCGGTAGGCGTGTATAAATTGTAGAGGTTCTCATAAAAAGTTTTGAATTCCTCCGCGATTTTCTGCGGGAAAGAAGAGGTCTCCCCTGTGGTCAAGCGTATCTTGCGAATTTGCCGGTGGGGCATAGGGCCCTTTAGGAGCCTCGCAAGGTATTTGCCACCTTTATTAGCATGTACATAATAAAAGCCTTTAGTTCGTTGTACCGATCTGAGGTGCCTTTTCAAGAGAAGTGCTTTAAGCTTTCTCCTGTGTTCCATCAGATCCCCGTAAACCGCATTCAGCTGTGATCTTTTATGGTTGCGTTCTAGTGTCGAGATTGTGTGATGTAGCTCAGTCATTTCACGCATATACGCCTTCCGTTTCTGTGAGGCGATGCGTATAAGTGTGCCGCGGATCACGCTCTTGTGAGCTTCCCAAAGGGATATCGGGGAGACGTCCGGAGTGTCGTTTTCTCGAAAATATTGCTCCAATGCCTGGCGTAGTTGTTCCTTGGTGTCCAAGTCTAGTAACAGGGCTTCGTTTAGCTTCCAGGTCCACCCCTTTGGTTTGTACAGGGGGGGAATCCAATTCCATCTCGACAGAGCCATGATCCGACCAAGTGGCCGGAGTGATGTCGGCTCCTAATAGGTGAGAGAGGCCCTCCTGAGCGACAAATAGATAGTTGATGCGTGAGTATCGGTTGTGAAGTGCTGAGTAATAGGTGTAATCTTTTGTTGAGGGGTGTAGCGTCCTCCAGCAGTCCACCAATCTCAAGGTTTCCATCGATCGTCGAATGGACCCGATAGTATGCTGTGGTAGGCAGCTATGGCCCGTAGAGGAATCCAGTGTTGGGTCAAGTGGGGCGTTGAAATCACCACCCACTATTAGTATCCCATCCGTGAAGTCTTCCAACTGGTGGAGAATGTTTCGGAGGAAGGGAGCCTGCCTCTTATTGGGTACATAGATGGAGGCTAGTGTATACATCTTCTCCGCTATAACACCTTTAAGGAAGAGGTATCTTCCTTGCGAGTCTTGCACTCGGTCTAGTTCTGTAAATTCCAAATCAGCCGCCAAGAGAATGGCAACTCCGGTTTTGCATGACGTGGGATGGTTGCAAAAGCAATTATTGGGGTAGTGCCTATTCCGTAGCCTAGGATGCGTCCCCTCTTTGAAATGAGTTTCTTGCAGTAAGGCAATCGACACCTGTTTTTTCTTCATTTCTCTCAGCAGGTGTGTCCTGCGCTCAGGGACGTTGAGTCCTCTGCAATTCTGTGTGATAATCTTCAGGGGCTTAGTGCAGTAAGCCATAGTGGCCAGGCGTGTCGGTAGCAAAAGCTTTGTGTGGTTCCGACGAGGATACCCAAGCTGTGGGCCAGTCGGTCCAATGCGGGGCGGGAGGGGGGGGAAGAGGAAGGGTGGAGGAAGGGAAGAAAAGTAAAGCAAAGGGTAGAGATAAGTAGTATAGGATTAAGTTCGGGTCCGGTACCCGGGATACGGGGCCAGCTGTCCCTATGGTAATTAAAAGGAGGTGTGTGTTCTTGTAGTCGTTGTCCTCACAAAGTTTGGGTCCGTCCCAAATCTACTCCCCTCACCCAGGTGGGGGAGGGGTGTCTCGTGCAACAGCCGACCCGGGTAAGTCTCGCTCCGGTACCTGCCCAGGAGACCAAAGTACTCCCCGTTCGGCTGCACAACTTTTAGCACGAGTATTCGTGTGTGGAAGCGCAACTCGAGCTCCGCCCAAGTGAGATCTCACAGAGAGCTAGTAGGCTCCTGCTCCTAACCGTCCCCCAAGTGCGATGCTAAACGGGCCGTATGTAACCCCTTATTGGGCGTCATCAGTGGAAAGGCTCATAAATGACAATTACTATGTGGAGGAAATATCACAAAGAGAGCCTAAGGTAGCTTGTCTGTATCCAGTGAAACCCGTCCTTCCCCAGGTTCCTCCCCAGTGTAGAGCGTTTCCAGTCAGTTCCCGCTCATTCCCATCCAATCGTCCCCGGCCGGTCTGTCTGCCCAGGATGTTAGTTAGTGAGGAGCGTGTAACAGGCATCAAAACCCCCCGGGGTGTGAGCATGTACGAGCGCTCGGTATCGTGGTCCCCTGACTTAACCTACGGCAACCCTCTGGAGCCTTGAGTCTGTAGCTATCGATCTCATGATACATACTGCTCGTCTCGGGCAGGTCACGGGGTGTCGTCACGGCCAATGGGTGAAGGGGGGGGTGGGACAGGAGAGCAAGGTTTGTGCGCACACAAGACCAAATATAAGAAGTGGTCAGTGGGGAGCGGGTTCCCCGTGGGGCGACTGTGTGTGTGTGAGTGCTAAGATTGATACCAGTGGGAGCGCTTGTGTCGGTGTGTGCAAGGCATAGCATATCAACAATTATGAACAGCAGAGTTAAATGCAACAATTTCCTCCCTCCAGCTCTCCCCCCGCCACCCAACAAGGCCTCCCTCCCCCCGCGTCTAGACAATGCATCCTGTAGCTTTATAGTGTCTCGGTTGCAGTACATGGATCCAAGGATGCAAGCAGGCACTAAAAGATGGACCATGTCCCCCCCTCCGCTCCCCGTGTCCCCCCTCCCAAGAGCCCATGAGCCAAACAAATGATAGGCCATGTTCCAGGTCTGGAAACAAGGGGGGGCCGTGAGATATTCTGATTGTTGAGTCCACGTGTGTGAGGGTCCCTGCCGTGTGCCCCCAAACCAATCGCCCTCCACCCCAATCCCCAACAATATGTCCCAAAGTACCTGAGGGCGTACCGTACGCCGGAGCCGGATATCACGGGGGGGGGGGGTAGAGGCAGGTACAGGCCGCTCAATATTTGAGGCCCATGTCGTGTGGTCAAAGGTATAGTAGGTCAGTAGCCGATGCTGGTGAAGGTTGGGTGCCGAGGGGCCTCAAACAGCCAACATCATTGTGGGCAGGGAATTGCAGTTATTCCTTTGGGGATGTTGGATCCCTATGTCTTCCAGCTTGAGAAGTAGCAGGGGCCCTCGCATTCCGCTGCCTTGGTTCCCTCTGTGTTCTCGGCGGGGGGCCCAGTGATCCCAGGATCCAGTTGGGGACTGTCTGTGGTGGGAGGCCTAGTTCTCCCAGGAACCGCGGCACCTCCTCCGGCCATCTTAGGGTAACCCACCGGTTTTGGTGCCTTGCCATCAAGGCAAAGGGGAAACCCCATTTGTAAGTCACATTAAGTTCTCGTAGTGTCGCTGTTACAGGGCGAAGAGCTCGTCTGGCTTCCAGGGTGATAGGTGACAGGTCGTTGTAAAGTGAGACCTGTGCCCCTCTGAAGGACCAGGTTGTGCGGTCCCGTGCTTTCACCATGATAGCATTCTTCACCGGGAAAGAGCTCAGACAGCAGATGAGGTCTCTCGGCCCGTCCTCCGGGTCGTAGGGCCCTGTGTGCTCTCTCGAATTCAATCTGTGGAGGTGGGGACGGCTGCATGATTAAATGGAAAAGCTCTTGAAGGGTGTCCTGAACATCATCTGCCCCTTCAGCCTCTGGGACACCACGCACGCGGATGTTACACCTCCTACCTCTGTTATCCACATCCTCGAGGTGTCGGCGCATGGTGAGCAGCATCTCGCCTTGTCTGGCAACCGCAATGTCAGTGGACGCCACGCGGGCCGTGAGGGCCGTGTCCGCCTCCTCCAGCGCGGCGATGCGGCCCGCGTGCGCTGCAAGCTCCGTGCGGAGTCCAGCGACCTCCGTCCGCAGCGTTTCCTGTATGGTGGCTGTTATGGCCTGCAGGTCAGCTTTGGTGGCTATAGCTGTGGTTAGTTCCCGGAGGGTGCCTTCAATCCTCTCCAGCGCAGTGTTTTCCTGCCCCTGGCTGGGTGCCGGCGCCATCTTGGGGCTCGCGGTATCCCCGCTCGCCCCGGGCTGAGGCTGTAAGAAGCCATCTAGAGGTCTCTGCTGGGGGTTCCCCGGGGTCAGGGAGTGCTCTGGGCGTTTGGTGCGCCCCATCATACCTGAGGTGCCGCAAATTATAGCTGTATTGGGGGTTCGGCGGAGCGGAGCTCTCTCCTCACGCGGCCATCTTGATCAGAGCCGGAACCACGCCCCCCTTTCCCTCTTTTCTTTATTTTTTTTCTGACACTCATAGGCTAACCTTATGGAACTTGTTTGTAAGGTGGGGTAAACGTACGGTCACGCGATACTACACTGGACGGATGAGAGGTGTACACTTAAGATGCATGCCACAGTCACAGTTTCCAATACACTAACCATTATCCTTGCTAGAATGACTGTACATTTATACCTATTGAATGTTGTGTAACAAAATGCATCATCCAATTCCTTACTGTTCCATGAGCACACTGTAACCCTTGTTTGTTGCCATGCTGTATAAACCTTAGACCGTGTAGGTTTCTTTATGACGAAACAATAAAGCTTGTCTAAAAAAAATAAAAAAAATAGATAAATCATAGCAAAAGAGACAAATCAATGTTACAGAAAGCACGTTTTTCTAAAAAAAAAAAAAAATTATTTGAAGTTAAGGTAATTTTTTAATCAGTTATTATAATGCCCTAGTAAACACAATAATACTAATAATTATTATTAATTCTTGGAATATTTTATTACAATAGGTAGAAAGCTGCCAGTTCTGGGTTAAGACTTTGAACACATTCTTACAGCTAAAAACTCACATGGCTCTCACAAAGGTATTTTCTAAGTTAAGTCTATGTGGGTATCATGGCAGGGGCAGTCCCATTTGCTGTGGGCAATGAAGAATAGCTTCAAGGACTGAGCAATTTGTAACTTAGTTTTCCTTTATATATTACTAAGCTTGGATGTAGCTGTATTATAATAGGTCCACTAGGAATCGGTAGTGATTTTAGAATTAATATATGTCTGTAAATACATGGGAATTGAAAAAGTCCCATTGTTTATTTTTAGGCATTTTACATAAACGAGTTCAGGAAAAATATCTCCAATGAATGGACTTGATTAAACATCAATCACTACTTATTCTTAAGCTTTATTAAAAAAATAAATAGTAGCAAATGGTTGCAGACATTAAAAAGGAAATTTTCTCTTAACCAATTTAAGGAATAAAATGACAGATCAAAGCAATGTGAAATTTGACCCCACGTGAGCTAAATTCCAACTGTGGAGGTTCCATTGTACTTGGCAACCATAGAGTTTGTTCTTGTGTCTAAACATGGTGTCTAAGCAGATGTCTCTGTCTGGAACATGAAGATGGTCACAGTTAGTCCCTACACGTGCAGTTGAAAATGTAAAACATTATATATAAAAAAATATAATAAACGCAGAAAAAAAATTGGAGTTTAACCCCTTAAGGACACAACTTCTGGAATAAAAGGGAATCATGGTGGAATATTTCCGTCATGTGTTATTAAGGGGGTTAAATACCTAGGAGCAAATATGCTCTCAGTGTTTATGAGTTCCTAATGTCTTTAATGTTGAAAACAACCTAGAATTTTCCTTGTTTAAAGGTTTAGTAATGCCTTTAGAATAATGGACTTTTGACCAAGCATACTTTGAATTTTATATAAGTATGTATATGAGATTTTTACACTTAGAGAAGTATTCATTTAACATCTCAACCTATTGCAGAGAAAACACATAAGTTATGAAGATACTTTAACTTTGGCAGCTGACACCCCAGGATCTAAATGATTTATAGTGGATTTCTATTCAGAAATATGAAATATCTCAGGTGTAGATGCTGATAAGAAAAAAAAATATTGGGTGTGAGGGTGTGAGGAGCTCTAACGAGGCAGGTAGATGTTTTATTAAACAAGGCAACACAGAGAGAGAAGAAAAGAAAAAACAAGTTACCTGTGCTCTTTCCACATCCTGATGTATTTTTAAACAAAAGGAGGTTTTTAGTTACCTCCAATGGCCATGAGAGTGTATGCCCACCTGCCACGTCAAGGCAGACCTCTTAGGTGGGTCCTAACTCTAACCATTCACCTTGCTTCCTTGAGCTTCTGGCAAAAAATATCTCTAATGAGACAGAAAGGGGTATTTTTTATATACATCCCTACATGCTTATTAACCCTTAATAGGGAACACATGGGATGGGCAGCAGCATTGTAACCTAGCTGTGTGATACAAAAGTGAATACCAATACAAAGAAACTAGTCCTGCACTCAGGTGGGCATACCCTCTCATGGCCATTGGAGGTAACTAAAAACCTCAATTTGTTTAAAAATACATAGGGATGTGGAAAGAGCGCAGGTAACTTTTTGTTTTTGTTTTTTACTATATGTATTTTGGCTGATGTGTACTATGGTCATTGCTGCCGCCCAGGAGTAATGGGAGTTTGAGCGCAGGACTTGTTTCTTTGTACAGAGAGAGAATAGTAGATAAAAGATTATCATTGTGATCCTGAGGCTAATGAAGCATAAGAGCCTGGTTATGAATTTGTAATAAAATAAACCTTGAAAATAATTCTCTTTGATCTGCATTGGGAAGTCTGTGATTGGACAGCCACCGAATGTTTGGGCGGGGTTAGAATGGGAGGGCTTACAAAGGCTGCACAAGAGATCTGCAGGTTATGCAAGCTGTTTTTAGATAATCCCCAATGAAAATATGCAGAATTCAATGCACTTATGTTTTCATTGCAGATATATATTTACTAAAAAATATAAAAAATATTGACTGATATTAGAAAAAGACAAGCTACATTAAAGAAATATTTGCAAGCGTGTTGTGAATAACTATCATATTATACTGAACTCTAAAGCAGTTGTTACAAACAGGCATTTAAATAAAAGAGAATGTATGCCAGGTCCTTATAAAATTCTGATAAACTCCTTCACTACTTAGCACTTGTTAACAACACATGTATTTAAAGCAGAGGTTCCAGAGCTAGCCTATAAGTCTATAATAACACAGCGATTTGTGTATAGATTGCTTTTCAGACAAACTTAAACATTTAAGTCTTAACTTTGTTAATTCATTATACAAAATAAATAAATAAATACAAATTTTCACATACAGTAGGCGGGCCAAAAATAGATAAATAAAGCTGGTCAAATACCTTGTTTATAGGTATTTGGAAGGACCCTGAAGGCATTACTAGCAGTGCAGCTTACTGAAAGTGGCAACAGAAGGTACTAATAATGTCTGCATTTGAGCATAATGCACACATACAGTGAATGTATCAATATCCCAATATTTATTAATCTCTGGACTAACGTAATGCTAAAAGGGAAATGGAAGAGTCCATTCACTCCTTTCACCTCCCTGACTATAGGCATGATAGGACCAATTGAAACTTCCTATACTGTTTGAAAGCAGGGGATAAACTGGCATTTATTCTATTTTGTTATATATATATATATATGTGACACTCAAAAATAAAAGATAAAAAAGATGTTGTCAAACCTGCAATGAAAAAAATCAAAAAATTAGCATTGAGAATAGAAGCACTTTTAATAAGAGGATTTTTGTTTAAAATCAATGAATAATAAATTTTGAAAGCCCAATCATCAATAGATTGATTTCTATGCATTAAAAATATAAAGTAATAAAAATGCTTCAATTTGTTTTTAATTACATGCTATGTCCTCCTAATATAAACTTCAAATATGAAACAAATGTTTTTTTATCTATTTATAAACATCATTTACAAAAACGAAGGATAATCTTACAAGATAATAAACTATTTAAAATGATCACATGTTGTATCTAGGGATCTAAATAGGAGATCATGTAGACAACTGAGTTCTGTTACGGTATTGCTGAGCACACCTGACACATCTTGTTGATGATTTGCAATATGTGTATGTCAAACAGGAAATAGAATATAATATCTTTGTACATTTTCACTACTAACAATCAATTCCATTAAGATATAACAATATCCAATACAGTCGAGAAAAAAATTAAATGAATTAAATATATAGGCATAGCTGGACATATAAAAAATATAAATGTGGGCAGTAACGCAGAATCTGTTAGATAAAAAAAGCTACATAATAACTAAAAAGTCAGTATTACAATGTTTTAGCTTGAAAAATATCAAACTAGGATAATGGGTAATTTGGAAAAAGAAAAATAGCTGATTTAACAAGAACACAAAAAAAAAACACATTCTACAGAAATTAAGAAAAGCTACATTTAATACCACTGCATTTTCTGTGTCTATAATAACAGTAAATTGATTAAAAGCGGGATTCCAACATTCCAAGTAAAGTAACAATTCGCAGACATGAAAATACGAAAAGGGAAGCATTTGTATACAAAAATAAACATATTGATGGCTATAGAAAGATTACTGAAAAAAAAGAGTAACAGAACCTTGAGGTTGTTAAGTCTGAGAGGTGTTTCAAAGTTTGCCAACTGCAATATGGCCAGTTTTTTTAAATCCTTGTCCTTTTTGGAACACCTTGGCTGCGCTTTCTCTTTTCACAGTTTGCTCGATCGTGGGAGTACCCTGGCACTTGACTTCTAACATTAAATTAAGACATTTTACAGTTTGGTTTCTTAAGACCTGAAAACTAGCATGTACACCAGAAAGCAATCTGTAAGAGAATGCAAACGTATTAATCATATAAAAAAATGGCTTTTTTTATTTTTTTATTTTGTGCATCTAGGATTGAAGGGTTTTTTGAACTTTTTATTTCTTATTTGTATACAGTGAGAATAACATCTATTACTATTCAGCTGCCGATTTGGTTATTTTCGAGAGCGGGCACTGAAAAGCGCTTTGAGTCCCACTGGGAGAAAGGCGCTATATGCCTACTAGTTATTATTATTATTATTATTCAAATGGAAGTAGAAATATGACAAAACAGAGGCCAAAAGTTTTATACATCCAGTTTTAATTTTAAAATGCCTTGATAGGTAAATAAGTGATCTACACCAAACTTGTC